TATATATATATATATACAGAATATATTAGTTAATATGTTAATTTAAATGGTCTCGTATTTACACGCTTACATATTTGTCAATCCAACAAGAGTTCGAATCAATAAAGTGTTAATCTTATAAATATTTATTGTATTTTAATATCGCAATACTATATATATTTATAATATAAGAGAATAAATCAAACATAATGTGGTATGAGGGTAAAAATGTACTTATTCTTTGTATTCAACATGGGTTCAAGTGGGTTTGATGTCATTTTATATTATATTAAAAACTATAACTTATTTTTTGGATATTCGGGTACCCGTTCGGTTTTTCGGGTATAGAAATATAGGAACCATTCAGAAATTTAAGAATTTCAGTCCGGTTTCGGTTTTGGGTATTTTGGTTCGGTTCTGGTTTGGTTTTTTGGTTCCGGTTTTTTTGCCCAGGGCTAATCTCCATGATGTCGTCACTTGTCTCTTGCTGTTTTATTGAATCTTAAATTTTATTCACTTTTTCTAATACACATTCAATATAGAGAAATTGCACTCTATATCACAAAATAATTGATAATATACTGCATAGCTAAAAAAAAGTTGACTGTGATATTCAACGTATTTTATATCTTATATATCAAAACATCCTTTATATCTACCGGCTCAACTTCTTCAACCAAGTTTCTGTTATTTTTTTTTTTAAGAATCTCAAATTCCTCTTAAATGATATTGTTGACAAATTTCTTTGCACCTGAGGTTGAATTAATTGGAAAGTGAAACGAACTTTTTCTTAACCTCCATCGCCAATGGTATATTCTCCTACATCACTGATGGTTTTTTTGCTAGATTATCACCATTATTACCAATAAGATTCTATGATTGATTATCATCATTAATGATTACTATCATATGGCTTGTTAATTTTATAGGGTGGTGAAAAATAAAGATGGTGGATCAGTAAGTGTGTATCACCATATCTACAAAGAGGAGAAGGTGAAGAAGATGAAGTCACCAACTATACTATGTACAGAAGGTCTATACTATTTTATAAATGGTCCATACTATACCTTATATATTGTACATGTAAAACAAAATATTATTTATTTCAGATTTTGATTTTATATTAAATATAAATTATAACTTATGTTTGGGTTTAGGATTTCATAGCTAGGGTTTAGAATTTAATAATTAGGAGTTGGGGTTTAAATAGAGTTTTAATATTTAGGGTTGAGAGTGGAACCAGAGTCCTATTCTATTTTGTGTATATAGTATAGAATAATATTTAACGAATGTAGAATAGAAGTGTGACTTTATAGTGAATAAACATGTATTATATCATTAATATGAATATTGGTTTATATGCTCTAATTTACAAATTCAACGTCTAATTTCGTGAACTACATCCACCCAAATGAATTTGGTTCACAAGTCTATTCTACTTTCTATTTTTATGTAGTATAGTTTAATATTACAACATATTATGTATTATTTCATCTTTTAATTTTATTTAAAATATTATAACTATATAGGTTTTGGATTTAGTGATTATAGGGTTTGAGTTTAGAGAACATGGGTTAGAGTTTAGTAATTATGTTTAGAGTTTAGTAATTATGTTGAGAGAAAATGGGTTAGAGTTTAGTAATTATGTTTAGAGGTTGGGTTTAATAGGAACGGTTTGCGTTAATCATATTCTTAAAACACAATTCTATTCTATTTTGCTTTCATATAGTATAGCTAAATTACAACATGGTAAAATTCTTCTTTGTATGTTATAGTATTTAGCCGATGGTGTATATTTGGGTTTGGGTGTAGAGAACATGGCTTAGGGTTTAGCATTTATGTTTAGGGTTTAGGGTTTAGGATTTTGGGGTTTAGTATTATAAAGTAGGATGGGATTGAACTACTATATTATTTTGATGATATAGAATAGAAACTCCACTTATTTAATAAGTGGAGTTTGTAGATTATTAGAATTACTATTTGTTGTACACATTTTACTAAAATAATTTTATATTTTTATCCACTTATTTATTGTATATAATGAATAAATATGTGGTAAGTAAATCTGTAACATGGATCTTTTAAATTATGTTATTATACATACTATGATTAATTTCTGTCCACAACAACAAAAGACTTACGTCATCTATCTCTCTCTTTAACTGACTACTTTCAATTCAAGAAGGTATAACTGGATGAAAAGTGTGCTAAATGATAGTTAGTTAATTATGTCAAAATTACTGATGTATTCTTCATTTTTCTTTGTGTTTTGTATATATACCAAATTCTCCCTTCAATATATCTTCAATTTTTTTTATCAAAAAATATATTTACATACTCAATATCGATCCGCCATTGATGCAGTTCTCTTAAAGCTTACATGGTCTATTTGCTATTGTTTCGATTAAAATGAGAAGAAATATCAGAGGCTGTACAAAATCTACTCTTTATCCACCGGATTTTTCAGCGAACCCTCCCCTATGGTCAAATCTACACCTGCAAATAACTCTATGTCGAAATTGGTGCCACTGATAAAAGGGGCAATTTCGTCCTTCCCTGGCCAAAATGATATTACTACTTTTCCTCTTGTCTAAACTCATGGGCATTTAGCCAATTTGAGTTCAAAATGAAGATATTCTATCTAATCATCCTTTTAGAGTGTGAATAGTGAGGCAGATCATCGACAGACATCCTGTACACTGGTATTCTGTGAATTGCATTTACCAATCATAATTTTTATGTGTTTAGGAGGAAAATGCAGGAGATTTGCCAAAAAGTAATTTTTTGTCCTTTTCGGTAAAAGCAGGCGTCCTACATGTGTTTCTACCACCTCTACTTTTGATGCAGTTCAACGATACCGCCAACTTTCCAGCCAATAAGATTTTTTTAATAGAATAAATTAATTCTCCAAATATTAATTTATCTCTCTATAAAAAAAACCCGTTGCAGTTTTATTAGTTCTATGGATCTATCAAAGAAATGTTCCAGATAGCAATAAAAAAATTCGTACACTGTTTAGTGTGGGATTTATCGTTGTAGTGTTGTGTTGTGTTGAGCATATTGTCTTGAGCATTATTCCTTTTTTCAACGTAAGTTTTGATAATTTTGTATTGTATATAGTATTTTGATAATTATAATATGTATTAATAATTGAAATATAGTATAGTGAACTGGAAAAAGATTTTGTGCTGTAGGGGGGAGTTAAAAAAATGTGTTCAGTCATTACCTCCAATGTAAGGTAAGAATAATTTTTAATTTTATTATATTTATATAATTATATATGTATTAGTTTTGATCAAATATAATATATTTTAATAATTGAAAATGTATTATATGTAATTGGAAAACTCTATATCTATAATATATATATATATATTTTTTTTAATTTTATATTTTAGAGTATTATCAATAAAATATACATGTAAATAAATAAAATAACTGTATATATATTAACTGAAAATAAAAATATGTCATATTTTAATTAAAAATACTAAAACAACAAATAATGTATATATAGAGATATTTTCTTAAAATAATTGTAATGTAAAATAAATATATGTATAATATATACATGTAAATTATTAGTATAATAGTTTATAGGTGTATCAATTGGAAAAAGAGGGTTACTTTTTAATTCAGATAAAAATGTAAATGAAAACATATATAACAGTAAATTATTAATAATATATTCTATTATTTCTAAATTAAAATGTTCTATATTATAAACATGAAGGGACATAAATAATCCAAAACCAGTTAACCAACTACTGGTCGTGCTACAATAATTTTGTTGATAGATATTGAACTAAAATGTAGCAGAATATAATAGCAACTGAAATTGCGATGAGTGTCATCGAGGGACATCGTTACCTCTCTTACATACATTGCGCAGCATGGATCAGCTTGCCTTCAGCACCACATTGATATTAAAGCCGCCAATGATTAATAGATCGGTACATATCTTTCCATTTTCCTCCGTAGAAAGCTATGTTGATAGCTCTGGGATCATTAGTTATCTTTCCCTTTATGAGGTCTAGACTTTAAACAATGCGGTACCTACTGGTATCTGCTCATTGTTATTTTTATGTTCTTTTTTTGGAACCAATCGTGAGATCATGTATCACCACAAACTCATGAATAGAAGTTATTGAGTGCTAGAGAAAAAGCAATAACATAGTTTTTTATTTCCCGTGAACGGAAATATGGAAGAAGGAAACTTTTGGAAGGTTAACAAGGTGAGAGGTCAATGGGGGTGCACATAGCAGCGAGAAATATCTTAAGCTTCGATTATATATATATATATATAAGAAAACAGAAGAGTCAGGTCTTTGAGCTTTGGTTTTATGTGGTTTGTAATGTGTTCTCATCAACTGGTTTGAAGACCAACAATATGTTTGTCGTTTTGGTACTTTTTACTCAATTCCTTATTTATTAATAAAAATTGTTTGGTTTACTTAACGATACACTGTGTAAATAATCGGTTTCAATCAAAAACCACGTCTAGCAACTTCATTTTCCTTAGTTCATTTGCAATTTGATCAAAACAATATTTTCAACCTTTTTCTACACAACAATATAGCTTCAAAATTTTAGTTAGTTTAGTCAGCCTAATAAAATAACTTTGGTACTCTGTCAAACCAAAATATATGGCCGTAAATTTACTTGACCAAAAGAATCTATTATCATTTGATATAGAAAATGTAGAGGGCCAATTTCTAATTTGTCAGAAAAAGTCGGATTCTATGTTTTATACTGCCTTTGAAGATGAATGCCAGAGAAATCTATACAATACTAAAATGGATACTCTTCTCGGTCATGCTGCCACGTCAGCAATTATATTTTTCTAATAGGGGCTCAATTTTCGTCCAGGTCAGCGCCCCTCCTTCATCGTTTGGGCTTCAAATTTCCACGGCCCGGCATAGTTTAAATTCGGAGAAGCCTGTGGAGCCCATATAGTTGAACGCATCCTATCCACAAGATCCCCTTTCTCATTTCGTAACAACCCTGATTTGCTAGATCGATTAGTGAAATCTTTTGCTCTTCCTGTTCTTCGTTACGTGAACGCATCCTGTTCGCAAGAGTTTGTGGATTTGCTCATCCTCGCATCTGGGTTTCAATCTTCTGGTGCTCCCGTTTATTGGGATGCCGAGAATTGCAGGAAAGCTCTTCAATGGGGTCTCTTCTTCAAAAAGTTGTGGCTTTTGGTTTGGCTTATTACCATTTTTGATCGTTTTCGAAACGAGAGGTTTGTTTTGATTTGCAGGGTTTGGAGAACCTGTCATTAGATAGTCTCTCAAAGGGGAAAGAGTTTATTTTGGAGCATTTGTATTCTTTCAAGGATATTGCAGTGTTGCTGATCAAAAAGTCAGAAATAATAAGCATGCTGCTGCACGTGAGAATTGTCAATCAAAGTAATAGTTCGTATTCTTTCTTTCTACCCTATGCTCATATGCTTATACATCAGCTTAGATGCCTATACATATGCTTTCATCCTGTTACCAGTACTGATTCATGTCAAACCTACTTTTCAGAACAACCATTCGGTTAGACATCAATAGTCTTGGTATTATCAAATAAACTAATAATGCCTCAGGGTGAAGATGAATCAACTGATGGGAGTTGCTCCAAAGTGCTTATGCCATTACATTGACATCATTTGACACGTATGCATTCTCTCTGGTAAGTTGGTAACCATGCTTCTGACAGTGGGTTGACTCCAGTGTGATAAATGGTTTTAGTGCTTAGTGCTCTGCTTGAAGATAGAAGGTCATCACTTGAAATTTTCATTTCTAAGCTTCATCAATATATGATTTTTTTTTTGCTATCCAGATATGCAATTTTATAGCTTAAATCTAGGCTAGGATTTAACCATGTATTAACGTTCATCTATATTATTATTAAATCATAACAAGGATTAGCTCACTTTTACTTTACTTATCATTCTTTATATGATTTCCAGTTATAACAAACAATTTTTTTTTTTTTTTTGTAAAAGGAATTTCACAAACAAACAAAATGTGAGTTGAATTCTTTGAAATTTGTTAAACACCAGGTAATGAATGATACAGACCAATTTTTTTTTCTGCTAATTTTAAATTATTGTAATATGTATAAAAATATATATTCAAATGTAAATGCTGATTTTTTAGTTTAACTAAAACCTATACGAATACCTGGGGTTCGAGTACCGAATAAAACCATGCCTGCTGTGAACCCCTCGCCTGGACACTGTCGGTTCCACAGCTGATGTGAATGTTGGTGGCCGAGCTGTTCTGGTGAATGTACCAGATCAGGACTCTCCTGGTAGAGGAAGACTGCAGGTCTAAGAAGACCCCAAAATACTGGATCATCTACAGCAGGCCTTAGGGCATCATTATTGCTAGGACCAATTTTGAAGTTCTTAGCTTATATTATTATCTATACTATTAAAGCTGAAGTACAAAAATTAAGTGTTTGGAAACATGAATAGTAAGTTTTTAAAATTAAGATGATTGGAAACAAGGATAGCCTACAAATCTAATGGGCTTACTTATTAAACTAAAAATTACTGCGGCCCAAAGTACCATTATTTTTGTTTTTGGGTTTTCTATCCTTGATATTATTTTATTTCTGAAAATTATGTATACATATATGTACTCGTGTTTTAAATGTATGTGGAATAAATCAAGAATAATATATATTTTATTTATATAATTTATATTGACTATTGTTAAAAGTTTTTAACAGTAATATACTAGCATTCCAATTCTTCATTAAAAATGAACTTAAAAATTNAATATATATTTTATTTATATAATTTATATTGACTATTGTTAAAAGTTTTTAACAGTAATATACTAGCATTCCAATTCTTCATTAAAAATGAACTTAAAAATTTGACTAAATTGTTTAGTGTATATAATTTTTCACCAAATTTAGTCAAAAAAACTTTATAAAATATTACTAAAATATTTACGGGTCACAACATTTTACCAACGTTCTGTTACACAATTCAGTGATGAAATACAATGTTTAAACAGTATACTATTACTTAGTAAAATTGGAACCGTAAGATTATAATTTTTAAAATATTTATATATACCTTAAAAACAAAGACCCGCCCAGTCGGGCGGGTTATGATCTAGTTATGTTTATGTTAAGAGACAAATGTAAGAATCTTTTCCAAAAACGAAGATTATTGCTAGGACATTTTGGTGTATCTTAGTAACTAATTGTTTTTTAATAAGTAATGAAATATAAAAGATAAATTTAAAATAAAACATATAACATTAAAATTCAAAACATAAGAAAAATACAAAGTCGGGAGGAATATGATGAAGCGATCCAAATGTATCATAGATTGAGATAATACTAGATATGATGAACCACAGTAAATTGAATATGTAGAAAGGAAAAGAGAACATGTATACAGTAAGATTTACCATTCTATCGAGTTCTTCAGAGCTTGGCAAGAATACAGCTTGAAACATCAAGGAGTATATAAACTTCACCTTGTGCCATAAAGTCATCTTTGCCCATGTTCTTTTTAACGTGATCTGCATCAGAAATATATTGAAATCAAATGAGTATATATATACTGGAACTACGTGAGAGAATGAGACTCTATGTTATAAGCTGCATTGAATGCTTTGAAACTGAAGACTGAATATAAAACCTGTACAGGACAATCACCAAGTATCACACTGCCCCCATACTTAAGGGCCTCTTCATATGCTACACAAAACTCAGTACCAGGAAAAACCTCTAGCTGACTGGCGATCTAACAGAAGTACATAATTGTAAATTTTTGGTTCAGAAAGTTAAAGCTTCTATAAGAAAAAGTATACTGATTAGCAAAACTTGCCTTTGCAAGAAACCATCCATAAAGTATACCGAACGTGTTCTGTTTCTGCTTCCAACTTTCAATCATGTCCGACATGGTTGGAATCTAGAGAAGCAAAACATAATAGATTTCAGAATAAGCAAAGACCTAGAATACATCATCAACAAAGTAAGGAAGTACATTCTATAGGCAAACTCTTTTCCAGCAGAATTTGCAGACCTTATGCATCATTTGATAAATCAAATCCTCTATTTTGAGACTTATAAAGGAACTTTGGTTAAAAACAACAAAATCTACCATCTTCCACAAAATGAAACAGCAATACACATTCTTTTTAAGAACCTCACACAATGATAAATAACCATAAAATGTGAAAAGTAAACCAAATAGCAAAGTAAGAAGAAGAATCACAACTGCAAAAAGCAAACCTTCATAGTCTGAGGTAGGAGAATAAACACTCGGCTTGCACACAACTCCACAAAGACAACCTATTAATCATCAGCCACGTAGTTAAACTCATACATATTATATCAAACTTCATCTCTCAATGAACATATGTCAAGAAACAAACCTCAGGCTCCAAGAAGCTGATTATTTCTTTAACTTCTTGACAGATTCCTGTAACCAAAACGATACTGCAGGATTATCTCATGATATGAATCATTAAAGCCTACTTCCTATCACAGCCTCAAATTCTAAAACCTTCAAAATCTACATGCAATTTCAAGTTATCTACAAAATCAATTCAAACCTAGTTTCAGTTTCAAGTATACCTTTGAAACATGAGCAGTCCCGATCAAATACACATTGCAAGATCCACTTTCCCATTGGACTCACACGTCAGGATCACAACGCGTTTCGCCAATTCCTCCGGTAACTCCGGCTTCGTCGTTTTCCGATGAATACTCACCACCGCCGTAACCGTCTCCATCCTCGCCGGAGTGAACTTCCGTCTCCGACGGCGATTGCGTCGGTTCCATCGAATCAAGGAAGTGATGGCAGAGATGTAATTTCAAGAGATTACGGAGGGTGAAAGTGTAAGACTGGGATCACGCGAGGACGGCACGTGTCCTTAAGGACGCGATATCAAACTTCTTAATTAACATACGTTTGCTTCCTTTTTATTTAGTTTTGATTTAAATTTTTGGCAAAAAATCATAAGGACCAGCTTAAGGACGTGCAATAATGATGCTCTTATCACTCTCACTTTTATTTAGCATTTGAGGTTTCTTAAATATTGAATATGATTAATGATTACAAATTTAACAAATTCTGAGCCATATTTTGGGTTTTGTTGGTATTAAAAAAAAGAGAATATTGGCTGAAACACTCTATCAGCCTCCAATATTAGTCAATTAGCCACGATTTGACATTAATATATTTTGAGACCAAATTGCCCTTCCTTGTTTCCCGGCCTACTCTCTAGGCCTGCGCCCGTAGCCTCACGCCTGCGCGTTTAGCAGTCAACTTCCTCTTTAACCACGATCCAAATTTATGTCCCAACCGTCCATTTTCAAATTTTAAATTAAATTTCAATTTTTTTGGTCCAATTCTTTTAGTTCAAACACAAAACTGATTTTTCAGTTTCCCATTTCCATTGTAAAAAGGAACTGTAAATCTCATTCTTGAGAAACCGTTATTCCCCATTTTCTTTTTAGATTCATCCATGGAAGATCTTCTACTTCCTCTCCGTATTTTTTCATGTGGTGAAGAACCTAATGGCGAACGAGTCAACTCGTATCACAGGACTCGGAGAACCGAGTTGCTTATTGAATCCCTAGACGAGGAAGAGATGGAGTTCTTCAAGAATTCCCAGTTCTCCAGAGTTCTATCTCTAGACGAGAATCCGCCTTTTTCTGGCGCTTTTGGTCATTTCATTCTTGTGAGGATGCTGAAGACAGAGAAGAAATATGAGATATGGTTGATTTTCGCCGGAAGACCAATCAGAATTTCCCTTAGGGAGTTTGCTATTGTTACTGGGCTTAACTGCAACCGGATTCCTACTCAGACGCGGAAAAAAAGGAAGAATCCTCTCAAAGAGAAACTCTATTGGAATGAATTGTTTGGCTCTCTGAAATCTTGTTCTGTTGATACTGTTATCGAGATGCTCAAGACCCACAAGGTGAAGGATAGGGAGACACGGATCAAATTTGCATGTCTAGCAATTACGGCTTCAGTTTTACTTCCATCTTCTCACACTCCGAAAATTGTTCCTGAGCATGTGGAGTTAATTAGGGATATTGATGATTTTATTTCTTATCCATGGGGGCGTTCTTCTTTTGAACTTGTAACATCAATAATACTTAAGAAGGATGCAGTTTCCCTCGCTCAAGACTCTTTCGCGGTAAGAGGTTATGTGGAAGCTATTCAACTAGTCATGATTGCTGCTGTCCCTGCTTTGAAAGAAGAAGTTATCATCAATGCCCCTATAGTTGTAGTTGAATCTGATAGTGAGAGTGAGAACCCGGCTGGTGATGTTTCGGGAAATTTGAACAAGGTTAACTCCACGCCAAGATGGATTGTTAATCCCAAAAATGCGAGGGACCTCAACGCGGAGTGTCAAGTTCGACTCAATACCTTCTCTATATTTACCTGTTAACACAATCCTTAACCGTTACTGGAATTAATAGCCGTTAACTATTTGCTTAGCTACTGTTAGAGTATATTATTGAACCTTAATCCCATTCTTATTTTTGTTTTCACATTACCTATCATCTGAATTAGAATAACAAATTATTCTTAATTGGATCAGTCTTGTAATCTCTACTTGGACGTAATCGGAATTTATCTTAAATTTCGCCTTATTAAGTTTAGCAGCTAATAACATGCTTAGCCGCTAATTTTAATGTTAACAACCATCCGTTGTGTTAACGCTTTATCCAGGTTGAAGTTCAATCCATTCTTGATGCCCCAGATGATGATTGGCTTTCTGATAAGGACTTTAGTTGGGTTGATGAAGGCGATGACCCTAAATAACGTTCACCAGCAAGTCCTCCCATTCTGCTACGCTTACAAGCTGTTTCATCCTCAAGCATTATACCTTTACCCTTATCAACCATTACCTCCACTTGATCAGTTAGCGTTTTTGCTGAAACAACCATACACGAAATTGTTTTCAAAATTACTATTATATCATAATAAAGCTATAACACAAGCTTGCTTAACTTACCTAACCCAACACCTACTTCTGTGTCTTGGCCTCCTAAGTTACCACCTTCTTCCACTGATGTTCCCCCTCCGGATATTACTTCACAAGCTTGGGTTAGTGGTAGCTCAGAGGAGTCTTCAGATGACTCGATGTTGATAGGCGTTATTTCAGTGTGAGGATCCTCGTACCCTTCAAACCCCAACGAGGATTGCTCAAGTATCGCAACATCACTTGGGTTACATATGCTTCTTAGTAACTCTCCGTACACCACCATGTAACCCATAGCTCTTAGATCTGCGATCATTCAAAACATTATTACTTAACGGCTAACTATAGTGTTACCCTCTAAATAATGTTCTGACCGTTAACATAATAATTATACCTGCAAGTCTAACCAGTTCCTCTCTAGCCACTGGTTGTTGCGCTGCAGTAACCCCATCTTCCTCAGCCCTCTGTGTCCTGTAACGGTCAACACCTTCTTCCCCAAATGTTACATACATCTCCAGCAACACATGGTCCACTCTTACAGCCATGAACAACTCCACATCCCCATCCTCTTTTATTTCAACAGGTGGGGGCGAGTATTCATCAGCCTCTCTAGATAAGTCAGGAAAATCATATGTAAGTAGCACCGGCTCAGTATCCCGTAGAAGGTTTTGTAGATTGTATTTCTCTCTCACCATCCCCACGAGATTAACGTAGCTTTCNTTCGTTCTCTCCCTTTCACTACTACAAAGTTTGTTTCTCTTGTTAACAAAAGGTTTTGCACTCTATAAGGACTTTTATCTTCAAATTATCTTGGTATTTCATACAATCATCATTCTCGATGTCATATAGATTGTAGAGCCTAAACTAATAGCACGATTAACGGAGAGAACGAGTGGAGGGGAAGCCTTGTAGCTGTCAGTTTAGGTTGAGGAATAGTAACCTAGGACAACCTAGGAAAACCTAGGACTCGGCGTGTAGAAAGTTGTGTTAGCGAGCTGACACAAGCGCCGAAGGTCAACTTGCGAAAGGGAGGGGCTTTCTCGGCATTGCGGGTATGAATTGTATGCTTTGGGCCAATAATGTCACCTCATGTATATTTCGCTAATTTGGGCCTCGATTTTGGGCATCTCGCTAATTATCTCTAAAAAAAATTCAAAACATTCTGGAATTATCAGCATTTGATGTGCGAGATTTGATTCTAATTTAATGATTGTCTGCATCACTGTCCTTTGTTGTTGAAAGCATATTCTGGCAGGCTTAAGTCGGCATATTAACAGGAGTACACAACTGATCAGCACTTCTACTCTCAAAGGAGGAGCTACTTAGTATTTAAAATGTTCTACTATGTCCTTTTTTTTTTTGAACAACTATGTTCTACTATGTCCAGAAACATACTAACCACCATTTAAGGACCCCCCAAAAATATAGTCTGAATAACAAAGAATCAAATTTAATAACAACTAGATTTTGACTCAAAACGTATATTATTTTTAATTAGGTTTTTATTTTTATTTTGAGACTTGATTTCAAAACTTGGGGTATTTTAAATTTTAAATTTTAAATTTTATATTGGTCAGATTAGAGATTTTGCTTATGGAACCCATAGCTAAGTTTTAAAAAATTAAAGAGATTTTCAGAGGTTATGAAAATGATTAGTTTATATTTATAATGATTTGATATTAGATCTAAAGAAACCAAATATTATAGGACATAAAAGATATTCACAAATATTTGTTTATTGATATTTCAACCAGTTATTTAAATACATAAGTTGGTAAGAAAATATAACTATTATGCAATTTGAGTTAAAAAGCTCAACCCGCAAAAGTTTATATACTAAATTATCATTTCCTTTTTAAAAACAAAATTCATTTTCTCAAGTTCAAATGAGTATCTTTTCTTAAATGTATAATTATGGTGGTCACACAAATTTCTATGTCTTTGTTATAAAGTTATATTTTGATCTATTCCATGCATACATTTTGGTTCATATTACATAGTGTTTGGAAACTTGAAAAACCAAAAAATTAAGATGGCAATTCTTTTTTAATGGTTAAACATTAAATAACAACGTCAGTTAAATATGCATATCATTTTGATATAAGTTCATAATACAAATATGTCTACTAAATTGATTTTATTGTTTGCTATTAAAAGTGATGCTCTGTGATAAGAAGTGTTTTAAAAACCGGAACTGGTTGGTTGGATCATGACTCTCTCTTTTCTAAACAATTTTGAGTTGTACTAAAAACCAACAAATTCGGTGTTAATAACCGGTCACTCGCTACAACCGATGGTCTAGTTTGATATTAAATCCTATTTTTTTAAAAATTAAAAATGAAAATTTTTTAGAATTTTTTTTATAAAAAGCTGTATTGTTTTAATATCTATTTAAATAATTATTTTCATTATATTTTATAATATTTTAAAAATTTTCATTCTATTTCCATATCATTTTAGTTCAAAAATGATAAAAATTCTTATAAAAATAAACTTATAGTTATACATATATAGATACTTAACTTAAAATTAAATTAAATTAAATTTACAACTCAGTTAGACCGGTGTGACCATTGACCTAACTGCAATGTCAAGTCAATGTTCAGTTTGGTATTCAAAAAATTGATGGCAAGAATAAATTAATATCATCTAGTTTAAAAATAAATAGAATACATAGACATTATTCATAACAACAAAATATATACAATCTTAAATTTATATAATATAATTTTAAATTTAAATAAAAATCAATTCATTTTATATACTCAATTTTCGGATTTTTATAGTGATTATTTTCTAAAAACATTTTAAAGATATAAAATATAAAACTACAGATTAAATATT